GTTACTACAGACTTGGAAAGGCAGGCAGGTTAATGACTACCCAAAAAATAGTTTAAAAAGAATGAATAAGATCTACTATTTGATAGTACAACAGGGTGACTATAGTCAATAAGAACTTTATGGTATATTTTTGAATAACCAAAAGAGTGTAACTGGATTGTTTGTGATGCAAAGAAAGGTTAAATGCTTGAGGGGATGAATAACCCATTCTCCATGATGTGATTATTACACACTATGTATGCCTGTATAAAAACATCTTATACAGCCCATGAGAAAAAAAAAAAAATACACACACACACACACACACACACACACACACACACACAAAATGTGCCCACAAAAATTAAAGATGAAAATTAAAAAAAAAAGAAAGGTAAGCAGGGATGCAAAAACACAGGAAATTATGATCAAAATGAAGACAGAAGCCACAGCACTGAAACTGATCTATATGTTAGAATTAGCAAAGACACCGAAGCACTCACAGCTGTACATAGATGACCCTTGAACAACACAGCCCTTAACACTTACACACAGATGCCCTTTTGCCTCTGCCATTCTGGGACACGAGAACTAACCCCTCCTTTTCTCCTCTTCCTCAGCCTACTCAACGGTGAAGATAACCAAGATGAAGACCTATATGATGACCCACTTCCACTTAATGAATAGTAAATATATTTTCTCTTGTTTTCTTAAATAATGTTTTCCTCCAGCTTACCCTACTGTAAGAACACAATATGTAACATACGTAACATACAAAATATATCTTACTCAACTGTTTATCAGCAAGGCTTCTAACCAACAGCTGGCTATTAATTGACAAGATTTTGGGGAGTCAGCAGCTATATGCAGATTTCCAACTGCATGGGGGTTGGTGCGCCTACACTGTTCAAAGATCAACCATATTATATGTTCAAAAAGCTAAGCAGAGACACAGAAGACGTTAAACTTCTAGAGACAAAAACAACATGTGAGATGAAAAATGCACTGGAAAGGATAAAGCACAGATTCGATGCTGTGGAAGAAATGATTTATGATCTTGGAGGCAGCATAGAAACTATCCAAAAGCACAGAGAACAAAGACTGAAAAAAGAGGGTGTGGGGACAGAGCATCAATGAGTTGTGGTACAATTTTGAGCAGACTAATTAATACCTATAATCAGGATCTTACGTAAAAAAGTAAGGGAGGGGAGAGGGGCAGAAAATAAGATTATTATTTAGCCCATTTAAAATGTTACCTCAAGGTAGATGGTGACAAGTTAAAGGTGTGCACTATAAATCCAAAACCACCACTAAAAATAAAGAATTACAGGTAAGAACCCATCAAAGAGGAAAAAAAACGTAATGATAAAAAACATCCAATTAATCCAAATGGAGGCAGAAATACAAAAAAAGGAAGAACAGAAGAGATAAACAGAAATACAATAAATTTAAGTATAAATGGCCTAAATACGATAATTAAAAGGCAGACATTGTGAAAATGAATGAGCAAGCAAGACTCAACTATATGCTGCCTATGTAAAATATACTTCAAATACAAAAACATCAACAGACTGAAAATAAAATTATATAAAAACATATACCATTGCAGCACTAATCAAGAGACAGCTGAAATGGCTACATTAATGTTAAACAATCTAGATTTCAAAGCTCAGAATACAGGGAAAAAGAAAGTCATTAATACAATGATAAACAGTCAATTCAGCATAATAACAAAACATTTTAAAATGATAATGCATTTGAAACACTGTTTCAAGATACATGAAGCAAAAACTGAGGGAGCTTCAAAGGAAATACAAATTACTGTCCTTCAAATTATTGAAGATTTCCATATTCGTCTCAATAATTGATGGAATGAGAAGACAGGAAATCAGTAAGGCTATAAACAATTTGAAGACTGTCTAATCACTTAACCTAAATGACATTTATAGCAACAATACAATTAAATTAGAAATCAGTATTAGAAAGATCTCTGGAAGAGCCTCAAATTCTCAGGAACCTACCCTTCTAAATAATACATGGGCCAAAGAAGAAATCAAAATTAAGTTATAAAATTTACTATCGGAATGAAAACACATACGAAATATTGGCATGTCATTAAATACTAGTTAGATGTCAAATTTTACAGCACTAAATACTTATAGGAGAAATAGAGGCTTCAGGGCTGGGCGGGATGGCTCACGCCTGTAATCTCAGCAGTTTGGGAGGCGGAGAAAAGTGAGTCACTTGAGGACAGGAGGTTAAGACCAGCCTGGCCACCATGGCTAAACCCTGTCTCTATTAAAAATACAAAAAATTAGCCAAGCATGGTGGTGCATGCCTGTAGTCCCAGCTACTCAGGAGGCTGAGGCATGAGAATCTCTTTAACCTGGGAGGTGGAGGTTGCAGTGAGCCAAAATCACACCACTGCACTCCAGCCTGGGCAACAGAGTGAGACTCTGTCTCAGGGAAAAAAAAAAAAAAGAAAGAAATGAAGACATAGAGCTCTGAAATCAGTGACCTCAGCTTCCATCTCAAGAAAAGAGAAAAACGAGCAAGTCAGATTAAACTGAAAGCATGATACATAAAAGAACAAACTAATAAATGATCAAATCAATCAAAGTTATCAACTTCTAGTATTCAAGGGACACTGATGAAATACAGAAACTCACCATGGACTAGGAGAAGATATCTGCAAAGTATCTATCTGATAAAGTATGTATCTTGATATCTGAACTTGAATCCAGAAAATTAAAAATTCACAAAACACAATAGAAAATACAATTAGACAAAAAGTACAAAGATTTGAACAGATACTTCACCAAAAAGGATATATAGATGGCAAATGAGCACATTAAAAGATGCTCAATATCACGAGTCATTAGAAAATGTAAACTAAAAGCAGTGAGATACCAATGCACACCTGTTAGAATGGCTACAATGAAAAAGAATGATCACATGCAAAGGGCTGGTGAAAACAAAGAGGAACTGATATATCTAGTGCTAGTGAGAATGTAAACCACTTTGGAAAACAATTTAGCGGTGTCTTCACAAGTTAGATATACACCTATCATGTAATACAGCCATTCTACTTCTAGTTACTAAAACAGAAGAAAATACATGTTCACTTAAAGACTGGTACATGAAGGTTCATGGCAGTTTTATTTGCAATAGCCCCAAACTGGAAACAACAGAGCTTTACTTCAACCATTGAATAAACAAACTGTGGTATGTATATCCACATAACCCAATACTTCCAGCAATAAAAAGGAATGTACCACTGACATGTGTTACAATATGGAGGGATTAAATATTATCAAGAATGAATGAAGACAGACCAAAACAAAGGATATGTACCGTACGATTCCATTCACATAATCTAATCTTTGGGGATGGAATATTAGTGAGTATGTGGGGATGGGAGAAAGATATCACAAAGGGACAAGAAGAAATGTCTGAAGGTAACAGACACATTCATTATTCTGAGTGCGGTAATACTTTCAGTGGAGTATACATATGTCAAAATATATCAAATTGTTCAAGTAAAATACATACAGTTCATTTTATGTCAACTGTACCTCAATAAAATGGTTTTGAAAAACAAAAGTATGGTAAGAAAGAATACAGTGGGTAAACCGGACTCTATTTATTCGTAAAAATACTTTGATACTATCTACCACGTCAGGTTGTAGTCAGGACTAAATGGGACAGAAACAGCACCATTTCCAGCCTCAAGTTTGTACCAATCATATGGTGTCTAGCAATAGTACCATATACATACTTCCTTCTTCAACGTTACATTACTTTTAGGACGCATGAGAAATTTTTATGATTAACAGCCAGAAGCCTGAGAGAATTCTGAGAACTAGAAGTAAAGGTGAAAAGGAAGTATACCAGGTGAACAAAAATGGATGTGTAAATGCTTATTGGAGCGGTAAGCTTTAATCAAGCTGAACTGTTTAACAGCTTGCAAACTTATGTTATTCAGATGCTACAGGAAAATCATTTTGCACCTTATTTTGCTTGTTTAGGCAAACAGAGAACGAAAACAACCAAAATATCTGAAGTTGCAAGATTCAGTTTTAAAGCTGATGCTATGCCATTGGCTGGTTGTAAAAGGATGTCATCAAAGATTTGAGAATAACCAGGGTTATTTTAGTCAATCTCCAAATAAAAATGTTTTCCAGCACAACAAAATCAAAGAAACAGCTAAATCAGGTAGTACTAAAACCAATGGGTATCTTGTTCGAGTTTAACATCATTTACTTACTGCAGTCGGGAAACTCACCGAAAACCAGTGCAAAGATTCTATCTAGGCTGAAATGGAGTGCAGGTACAAAAATATGGCTCTCTCTCTACTTGAGCTGAATGTCTGGGCGCATGGCTGTATATCACGCAGGACAGAGCACCATTTTGGAGGTAAGATTAATCAGGTAAAAGTGCCAGATTGAATATTTCTTAAAAGAGAAATCCATCTAAGCCACCAACGTTCCTATTTTTTCCTTCATGTAGACAGGGATACTCAGGTACATCGATCCAAAATGAGAAAATGACAACAATACCTAAACTCATAGAAGTTTACGCAGTATTTTCATGTATACCATTTAGTCTTATCCTCATAACAGATAGGTAGTATTACTATTATTCCCTCATTTACAGACAGTGAAAACGAGGCTCAGAAAGGTTAAATGAGTTGCTCAGTATTAATGCTTGTTAAGTGGAGTGGAACTGACATTCAAACCTAGATCTTCTGATTCAAAAACCTATGTTCTGTCCATTAAATAATGCTACACCTAATGGCACCAGGCTGCAAATGCTTTCTTTGGGGTGCATTTCACAGAAAATGTTTGATGATCCTCTGACAATTTAGAGTCTGAATGTCATGGAACATCAACTCTCGAAAGGACTAGTAACGAGACTGTTATTTGATATTTCAACGTTTACAAAGCATTATGTGCTGTTAAAAATTTAATTAGAAAAACAGAAGCAAGCTCCAGCTTTCATATAAATTATAAGAAATTTACCTGAATGAAAAGGAAACTGTTGCTTGGCTTCACCAGTATGTGCATCCCAAATAATTGTAGTCTGAGATTAAAGGAAAAGGAAAATGAACTCATGGAAAGAAGTTTATCATAGATGCACAAATCACATGCCTAACTGTATTAAAGCAATATAAAATGTCAAGGTGGATTTAATTTTAAACTTTATCCCAAACAGCAGCACAAGGCTATATACTCCACACTTTGGAGAAGATGACTATTAAGCAGTTTCATTTTTCCCCGATTATTTTGCATCAATCAACTTACTTCAAATAACAATTATTGGTAGTCTACAAAGTGCCAGGCAATACATTAGATTTTGCTATAAAAACTCCATTGCAATAATGCCTTTAATGTTAAGATTCTTAGAGATGTTTAGTAAGAGAGTAAGTTCTTGGTTAACAATAATCAGTTCTCAATACGGAAAGATTCTGAAAGCTCCCATCTACACAAAAAGGCAACTTGAATTCTGGCAACAAAGCAAGAACCTAATGTACTGTACAGTGGCAGTGACTATTAACAGGGCTCTCTCCTTCCCAGCCTACTTCAGTTTTCTTCCCCTTTCGTCACTTCTTTTATTGCTCTCTGAATATAAAGCAGTTAAATATAAACCAGTCTCTCTCCACTTCCCTGTCTGACACCACACTCAATTAGCAGCATGTCCTTTCTTGGATTAAGATAATCTTAAACCTCTTTTTAGGAGGAAGAAGGTCATATTTCCAACTCATCCATATTCACCAGCCGAGTTAGATGCAGAAAACTAGACAGATTCTGCATTTTGCATTAGCTTCGATTAAGTACCAGGAGTTCGGCTAACAGAGCGGCTCTAGAATTTCCCAAGGAATCACTCCAGAACCATGTTCACTGGTGAGACTAACTAGAAACTGTAGAAGGGACGTGCAGGATGAATGACCTTGGTTATGGCTCAAATTCCAGCTAAAATTAAAAGTGGTCACACGGATAAAAGACATGTTGATAATTAGATTCAAGAATGAGCCGATTGATAGACCTAAGAAAGCATTTCTATCATAAATGCATATTTGAATTGCCCAAATAGGAATGTTTATGTGACTGGAAACTGAGATAAAATACTGCTTTCAGTTAAACCATGTAATGTATTAGCCTTTACAGAACTTAATGTGCTTTTACCTTGTCTACTCCAGCACTTAGAATAAAATTTCCTTTCTTATTCCATTTTAATGCAAATATAGGGCCTTTGTGCTGCCCTAAGGTGCTAGCAAGGTTACCTAAAATGCAAAAGAAAAACATTAACATTACTTTACATTTTCTAACTTTAGATCAACAACAAAGTAAAAAGGAAAATGCTTTATTTACCATCTTTAGTCCATATTCTGGCAAAACCATCATAGGAACCAGTTGCTAGAAGTGTACCTTCACTCTGTCAGAGAAAAACATCTCCTTAATTATATAATCCAGATAGGGCATTTAATTGTTGTTATGTCACGTTTAAATACCAGGTGCAGAAGGCCTTGACATTCTCTGATTCAAAACTTACCAGTTTTGGCTATTTGTGAGTGCCACCAGACTGCTGGGACACCAGTGTTGTAAGGGAGCCTTCTATCCAAAGCTCAGCAACAACTGACAGTAATTGCTCTGGAGCAGGACCTCCATCACCCTGCCTCATGCAGGCCGGAAGTACTCTCACAGACTCACACAGCTAAGAATGAAGGCTGGTGGATTGGGAAGAACATCAAACCCATAATCTTACAATGATTTATTAGAAGCAAAAAAAAAAAAAACCTTTGAAAGTGTTTAAATATGATGAGGTTTTATATGGCCATTCCTCTAAATCCTTTACTGTCTAAAAGTGTGTGTGCATGATCCCAACAATACCATTGTTTCAAATCATCAGATTCTTAAACACTTGAATGTTCCTTTATATTATTAATCCCTTCCCACTATGAAATATTTGCCAATAAGAAGAACGACACAAGGAAAAGAGCCAGAAAAGGGCACAGGCTAACGTCGTAGTTAATGAAGTAAGTACAACTGCCGACTTCACCAGGAGAAAACGTCCAGACAATCTTCTCTCAACTTACATTCCCTTGCTGTGCACCTTGCCTCGATGAATGGCGTAATAAAAGGACAGATCTAGCCTACTCTATGAAAATGCACGAGTTATGGGTTAAAGTCAACAGACTATTGCTAGAATGAGTAAACACTACCGGAGATACAGAAAGAAATCCTACCTTACTTGACATACTAATCTTCATGGTTTTTGGTAAGGGCACGCAGAACAAGATCACCTATTTCACATCTCTCAAGCCATTTAGCAGTACGGGTAAGTGACAAACAAAAACAAATGCTGGTTGTGGGAACTGCAGGCTCAGCTCAGCCATGATGTGTTAGGGCTCCATCTGAAGCAGGGGAGCCACGGTGAAGTCAACAGCAAAGCTTGTTTCCAGACTGTACACAAGGTCAAGTTTCCTCTAAACTACCAGTCCCTAAATGTTTTAGTTCATGAATTGCTCAACTAGGAAAAGAATACTTTCACGATGAGAAATCACACAGGCTCTTACTTTAGCATGGAAAATAATCATTAATCAAGGATAATGTTTTCCAAGTTCACCATGAATAACACATTTTTGAAAAGTCCACACTTTTCAAAACTATTAAATGCAGTTCAGAACGACCAAACTCAACAAACCAATATTCTTTAACGATCCTTTCAGTGTAAACTGTAAATTTCATTAAATTAACATGGCCAGTGGGCAAGGTAGCATAGAAAGCAATAAGGAGTCTGAACTCAGATATTATATTCTGTCTTGATCCTGCAAGTAAATAATACTACAATGTGCTAAACTCCTTTGGAACTTTTAGAATTGTCATACCGAGGGGAAGAGTAAATACGCTGCTGGCAATTTTGAAAGACAATGCTAAAAATACCTAGCTATGATTTCCGAAAAAACTTCACAGAAGCTGAGAACTTTAGGGGGAATAAGCATTTTAAAGAGAGATCTCATTCCTTGGGATAAGAATAGGAAGATCCGCCGGGCACGCTGGCTCATGCCTATAATCCCAGCACTTTGGGAGGCTGAGGCGGGTGGATCACGAGGTCAAGAGATTGAGACCATCCTGGTCAACATGGTGAAACCCCGTCTCTAGTAAAAAAAAAAAAAAAAAAAAAATTAGCTGGGCATGGTGGTGCGTGCCTGTAATCCCCGCTACTCGGGAGGCTGAGGCAGGAGAATTGCTTGAACCCAGGAGGCGGAGGTTGTGGTGAGCCAAGAGCGCACCATTGCACTCCAGCCTGGGTAACAAGAGCGAAACTCCATCTCAAAAAAAAAAAAAAAAAGAATTGGAAGATACTTTAGAAATCGCACAACAGGTTGTTAGCAGAAGAGAAAAGAACATTCATTTGCTAAGGAAAAAAACAACTATTCCAACATTCTTTGCAATGCTGCAACGGTCTAAGAGGTTTGGGGGAGGGGAGGGGTAGTGGGGTGAGGTTAGAGATGTATTTAAAACTAAAATGATGAGAATTTATCAACGATGAAGTCAAAGCTTTTTAAGTCAGAGTAGTCAGGGTGTCCTGAAAGATGCTGAATCATAGACAGAATCAGAATTATAAGATTCCTAGAGTGGAAATAAAATTTAGAAGTTATTTAGACTAATGGTCCCTAAAAGGCAATTGGTAGTAAAGTTCTATCAGTTCGCAGAACGTGTTTTCTGCTATATAGAATCCTTTTATCCCCCAAGTAAGGACTCAGTTATTATGGATTTAGTATGTCTGTTACTATGGCAAGGATTTTCACCTATTATCTCAATTTTTTGAGATACCACTTCACACTTCCTTTTTCATTTAAGGAGAATGAAGGACAGAATAAAAAGTGACAATTTTACCAAGGATATGCTGTGGGATACACTGAAGGGCTGGAAACTGAAGCCTGGTCTGACTACTTTAAGTCTGCATCTTTGACACCACACTGGGGGAAGGGGGCTGGCAGGGGAAGAGGGCTGGCAAGGGACGACTCCTGGTTTGTTGTTACTAGTTAATAAAACCCCAAATTCTGAACACATAGACAAACGCTGCCATTAATCTAAGGCTCTGAGGGTAGGTATACTAGTGCCTATATCCATCATGGACAGTAGAGTGGTACTCACATTCCAATCTAGAGATGTCACATCCTTGTTGCTTGGAACGTCCTGCCCTCCTTCTCGTATACAGTGTCTAAGTACTAACTGTGTGGAGCCACTGGTGCTGTTTTCACTAAGATTCCATATTCTTGCTGTTGAGTCTCCAGACCTATAAAGTATGCAGTGTATTTTAAATCCTCATGAAATTCTCAAGTATCAGAATCAAAGCAACATATATACATCTTAATAAGGCAAATAAAACTAGACTACCATGGATTTTCATTTCCGGTATTATTGCCATTCTGCAGTCTCAAAGTAGTAAGTTTAATTAAAAATTGTACAATTAATTCATGAAGGAATACAAAATTTACAGAAACAAAATGGCCACAAAGAAGGAACAACAAAAACCTGAATATTGCATATGTTTATAAAATGTTCAGTAAGATACTTTTAAAAGGCATTTTAGTATCACTTTGAGAAACATACCCTGATGCTAGGAGATCACTAACAGGGTTCCAGGCACAGATGAAAACTTCAGATTCGTGGCCCCGCAACACAACTGCTTTATTAGGAGGGATTTCAACATCCCCATCCACTTCCATCATATCAGTATGATTATCTGCATCATGAGAAACAAGTGAGCATTTCCAGAGCAGTATTACAACTTGGGGTGGGGTGAATTCTTAACTAGCAAATACCTTCCTTTATTACACAGTGTAACATTTTTAATTACATCAAGTTAAGCTGAACATGACTGCACAGTCTTTGTCACATGGAAAATAAATTCCTATCTTTAAGTATTGACCATAGTTGTTTTTTTTTTTTTTAAGAGGGGTGGCATGGGAATAAGACGTTAAATGATTAGACCTCAACTTGGATAAAACAGTAAAATGGATTGAATTAAATATAACGTGTAGCAGTACGATTCTGAGTTTCTGCCAGTAGGGGTTGCTGATATCATTTATATAACATGAGTTGCCTTTTATCTCAATATCAGAACTCTAATGATATTTGTTGATAACTAGTTTTACAAATTTTATTTAGGAATCAGATGTAGATGCAAAAATTCACTTAAAAATGGGAAAAGGGTTTCTAAATATTTTTAAAAGAAAATAAAAGTAAATCTAGCTTTCTGGAGCTTTAGGAATAAAAAATCTGAACTGTGTGGTACAAGGTAGGGAAACAAGCTGGTGCAAACAACTGATGAAATTACTTCAGCCTAGAAGATGGGACATTCTGGTAAAGCAAAATATTTCCTCTGAAAATAAATTTTTAAAAATTCTTGTCTCCTGGGACCTTCCTGAGGGTGGAGGAGGGAGGAAGAAGAGAATCAGAAAAAATAACTATTGGACACTAGGCTTAGTACCCGGTGATGAAATCATCTGTACAACAAACCCTGTGACACCAGTTCTCCCATGCGACAAACCTGCACGTGCACCCCTGAACCTAAAACAAAAGTTTAAAAAATAAACAAACACATTCTTGTCTGGCTCACTTGCTATAGTGTGTGCTCCGTTCTCCTCCCCGTTCGCTGTGTTTTCTCCATTTTTTGCAGATCCTTGCTGGTTGGCCGCAGCGGCAGCAGCTGCAGCAGCTGCCGCCTGTTGCTGTGCGAGCTTATCTCTGTAAGCTTGTTGTCTCGTTTGTACTACATCAGGCATCACGGCATCTATCAGGGACAGAGACTCTATTGGTCGGCCATCAAACAAGGTACCATCCTGGATGTGGAAGAGTGTGAGAGAAGAAAAGGCAAAGGCAGTGTTTAAAGTTATTCGTATTTATACAAAATCAGAAATGAAATGAAAATCTTCATTCCAAGAAAAACATTTGTAAGAACTTTCTGAACTCATATAAGCAGCAGTCTGGGGGGAAGAAAGAAACTGCAAGAAGCCAGCTGCAAATGGCTGCTTAGATTTTCCTTTTCATTTAGTTCATACTGTCATTAAATGCTGTACGGACAGAACTGAAATATAAAAGAAGCCACTGCTGAAAATGAAAGGGATAAGATGTAGCCCAGCTGATAAAAAGGTGTATTACTTAGATTCCAAAATTCTGTTAGTGAAAGCAACAACAACACGGGATAGCTGATGTAATGATCAGAGGCCTGGCGGCACATCATTATAGTAAATACCTCTCTTATAAAACTAAAAACGTTGTGGGCTACAAAGTTTCCTGTGATTTGATTAGGATATTAAAGCAGAAACAGACTTCCTGGGCTACAGTGCTCCTTAATACTAGGGAGTTGTTGGAATTTCCAAAGCTCCACCTATTGATATTAGGAAGTTCCTAATAAGGAGTTCTCCAAGTAAGCACAAGAAGAGACACAAACACAGAGCAAGTCGGAAACGGAAACAGTACAAATGAGCTAGGAACATGCGCATGTGAAGTCCGGTTCAGTTAAACCGTAAACATGTACCAGTGACAATCTACAGTGGTTTGCAGGGTTCTGTGAGCTGCAAAAACACAGCACATCCTTCTGAACTGTCCTCTGTAATGTAGTATTTGAGGAACAGGATAAAGTATTTTAATATATAAATAATTTTTAAAAGGTATTAAAACCAACACAGATACTGTGGAATAAAAGCTATGTCAAATTTACACAAATTTTAAGGCAAAATTTAGTTTTGTGTTAGTGGATTTTCACTCAAAGAGCTGCAGAAACAAAGTAAAATAAATTTTAGTATAATTCCTAATTCTAGTAATAATCATTGATACAGAAATCATAGATATTTCAGTTTAAAAAATTCTAGCCAGGCACAGTGGCTCATGCCTGTAATCCCGGCACTTGGGGAGACCGAGGCGGGTGGATCATGAGGTCAAGAGTTTGAGACCAGCCTGGCCAACATGGTGAAACCCCATCTCTACTAAAAATACAAAAATTAGCTGGGCTTGGTGGTGCATGCCTGTAATTCCAGCTACTTGGGAGGCTGAGGCAGGAGAATCGCTTGAACCTGGGAGATGGAGGTTGCAGTGAGTCAAGATTGCGCCACTGCACTCCAGCCTGGGGACAGAGTGAGACTCTGTCTCCAAAGGAAAAAAAAAAAAAGAATACTTGCAAAAGGGGAACATGTTCGTCTCTGAAGTAAAAGGGGGAAAGCTTCTCTCTTCACATAAAAATTTTAAACAAGGCTGGGCATGGTGGCTCACACTTGTAATCCCAGTACTTTGGGAGGCCGAGGTGGGCAGATTACCTGAGGTTAGGAGTCAAGATCAGCCTGGTCAACATGGGGAAACCCCGTTTCTACAAAAATTAGCCAGGCGTGGTGGCGGGTGCCTGTAATCCCAGCTGCTCAGGAGGCTGAGGCAGGAGAATTGAACCCAAGAGGCGGAGGCTGCAGTGACCTAAGATCATGCCACTGCACTCCAGCCTGGGTAACAAAGCGAGGACCCACCACCCCACCCCACACACACTTTAAAACAGACAAATCAGGGGCTTACAATCTTCTTCTGTAAAAGACTAGACATTAAGTATTAATTTAGGCTTTGCAGGCCAAAACGTCTCTTTTGCAACTACTATTCTGCCATAAGTAGCCATAGACAATATGTAAATGAGTGTGGTTATGTTCCAATCAAGCTTTATTTACAAAAGCCAAGAGCAGGGTTTGGCTAATGGGTCACAGTATGCTGACACCTGAGCCAAACTATTTACATGTAGTCCTTAGATAAGCAGTACCATCCAGAGTTGGCTTCAATTATAAATTGCTTTAAATAAGGGTATATTCAAATAACATGGAGAGTTTACCATTTTCAGTCCAGTAATTACGATCTCAGCATTCCACAGCACGATGCTGTTGTGTTAATAAAAATTATTTCTGGCCAGTCGCAGTGGCTAACGCCTGTATTCCCAACACTTTGGGAGGCGGAGGCGGGCAGATCACCTGAGGTCAGGAGTTCAAGACAAGCCTGGCCGACATGGTAAAAACCCCATCTTTACTAAAAATACAAAAATTAGCCGGATGCGGTGGCACATGCCTGTAATCCCAGCTACTCGAGAGGCTAAGGCACAAGAATTGCTTGATCCTGGGAGGTGGAGGTTGCAGTGAGCTGAGACTCCACTTCACTGCACTCCAGCCTGGGTGACAGAGGGAGATTCCATTTCAAAAACATAAAAATAAAAATAAAAAATTTCTTAGTGTTTACTTATAAAATCAGATTAAGGCAAATAAACTACAGATAATGACCCTAACACCTGTGCAATCTACATTAGCAATGAACTGTCTGCATTTTTGTTAACCCAGTGAAGTTAAAGTCAGAATGCTGAAGAAGCAAGCAAGACAACAGACGTAGAGACATATTTAGGAGTAAAATGAGGATTTGAAATAAGTCTTCCTTACCTCATTAATGCTAACTTCTGCTTCTACATACTGTAGACCTTTCTGGATGATGGAAATCAATGCAGCAGGTGGGACAAGTGCACCATTTATATTGGACTGACTGATATGGCTTTCTATACCAAAGGTAAATGCTGAATGAGAAAACCCTAAAAGCAAAAGGAAAAGTATGAGAATTTATTTTCCTAGTGGCAACATGCTAAATAACACACACAAAAAGATCACTATAGTCTTTCTACATCCCACTCTACCCATTTAAAATCCCAGACAAGTACGCTAAGGTCTAGAGTGTGTGTGTGTGTGTGTGTGTGTGTGTGTGTGTGTGTGTGTTACATATTTTACTTCTCTGTTACTTAATGTATACTTTTAAATTTCTAGTAAATACTTGGATTATATAACTTCAAGTTTTCTAAAATGTAGTCATGGTATACAACTTTTCTTAACAAAAAGCATCAAACTTAAAAGGAAAAAAAAACAAGCCTTTGGAAATCATGTGATTCAACTGTTTAAGATAAATGTGGTCAAGATAGATTCAGTAATATTTAATATTTCTATAGTATATTTTAAATTTTTTACATCCAGAACTAAGGAACTTTATTTCAAATTTTCTTTCATTGCACTTAATATGCTTTAAATAGGCACTCATTCTGAATGATTTTCAGAATTTACTTCATGTAACTGTTATCTACTATGTCGTTACAATTCAGTAAGGTCTTTAAAGCAATCTAGTACTCAGGTAAAATCTGAGGTATTTAAATTTCTACATATAAACTGTCAAACATCTGATAAATTCAGTATTTTGCAGCTCTTTGAAACTACTTAGGAAATAAAAGGCAAACAAATATAAATTTAAATATTAAATAATTATAACGCTTAAATCCCATTTTATGTACGAATTAAGTGCTTTAAACAATACCAGTCCTTTGCCAGTGAGTAATAACTCATCTATATGAAATCCAGAGCTAGCAAATGAGTATCTGGTTTACAGGTTCCCACTCGCAATTATTTACTTTTAACTTGAAATACTTAAAACCAAAGCACTTGCATAATAAAAATCTCTTTATGCTGGCCTTGCTTTTTATGAATAGCTAGTCAAAATTCAAAGGTAAAATTCTAATAAGTTGATAAACCAAAGGTGGTTTTCTTTACTGAAATATTAATCATTTAGCAGTAAGTAGTAATTTCTATAATGTACTTTAAACAATTCAATTAAATTCTACATGTAACACACAATAATCTACATTTATACTAAATTAAATAAATACGGGCTTATTTTGGGTGTTGGTTAAACTGATCTAATCTATGCAGTATCTCTGTTGGCTAGCCTGTCTACCCTAGTTTTTTAGCACATGTCTTTTTTGCATTTTGTTGCTTTCACTCATATACCCCTGTGGTACTTAGAAACAGTCCATTATAAAATACTGTGGGCTCACAAACAGCATGTGGCTAGGAAAATGTAGTTATTTGATAGTCAAAGTCCACCTAGGTTGATCTTCCTTGTAACCCCAGCCTCCTCTTTTTGGAACACCTAACCCATTATGTTCACAACATGTAACCCACAGGAGGAAAGGGAAGTGAAAAAATGATTTTAGTCTCCTGCTTTTGCCCATAGGTAAGATTATAATTACATGCATTTATAGTTTTCATCTTAATCTGAGCTCACAGAGATAGCTAAGAAAGATACCAACGGAGGAGCAAAGGGAAGCACCATTCTAAATTGTGCTTATCAAGAAACCCACAACTACCTGAATATGAGTAGATTCCAGATCACAAGGTATAAAGATGAGAATAAGGACTAGGGAGGATGGTGAGAAACAGCAGTAAAATCCTTAAGCAGTGAGGTTGGAGATGCCTGTTTTCAATTACATCCCCTCCCTCCATAAATAAATTCACAGTAAATCAAACATAGTAAAAACAGCCAAACAGCCAATAAGCTTAGAGATTTAAGAAAACTTCAAGATAGAAGACATCATTTATGGAGAGCCTATACCATATGGTAGACGTTGTGCACATAATTTTTATTTTATATCTAATGGAAAATCACAACTAATAAATGAGAAAGTACATATTCAATTCATTCAGAGACTACTACTCCTCTTGAACAGTTAAAATATGGTCAAGGAAAAAGCTAAGGTAGACAGTGAGCTCCTGTTTCCTGACAGAGTGTAAAAGAATACATCACTGCTTTGTTTTCAACTCAGGGTCTTGGAAAGTGGTTACACAGTGCATGAGACACTAAACTTATTGCTGTATTTAGTGCCAAGGTTTTAAAAGTGCTTTGACTTACATAAGGCTTATAAATTTGTTTGAAATACATGATTTCTATACACTTTATTCATGACTGCAACTTAAATAGTCAAAATTGTTAAATTTAGACCATATTTAACTAGCTTATAGAGTATAAGTTTAAAGTAGTAATATGTCCAAGACTACCCTAAGAGTTACAGGTGGAACTGTACCAATGTTGCATATATCCTGAATTTGCTCTGTCAGACCAGGAGAAAAGCTATCACAGGTGCTTCCGTGCCTCTCAAGGTACTGCAGATGTACTTAGGATGCTCTCAGATAGCAAGGTAACAACCCTGAAGTAGTCATTAGCATTGTTTTGGCACTTCTCATTAATGTTTACCCTAGAGAAGTTCCACACTTAAATGCTCTGCTTAAACAAACACTGAATTCAACTAGAATATTTTCTTTATTTCTAGTCTTGGCATTACATAGCAGTTTAAAATTATTATATTCCAAATTAATTTCCTTCTTCCCCTCCCTAAACTCCTTTTCCTGAGAAACTTCTGATCTCATTTCATTACACCTGAAAGTCATGGTCATACAAACTCCCTCTTCTCTCTCTGCTCCTAGCATTTGACAATTTACCAAATCCTACCATCCTACTCCAAATCCTACTACTCTACCATCTGTAGATGCTCATCACCTTACCTTTTCTGCCAGATCTGAGTTCAGTCCCCCTACCCTTTGCTATACGTTTCTCTCCCCTCCTCCTCAGTTCAGTACATATGCCAAGCTACAGCTAGACTACTATGTGTAAAACAACAAACTGATCGTATCACTTCGTACTTGAGCATTTTCAGTGATTCCCTTGGCCTTCATAATAAAGGTCAAACACCTAATTATGGCACACAGTTGTTTCTGTAATCCAGCTGGGTTTCTCCAGCCTCATCTCCTCAATACTACACACCCCGTCTGATTCCCATTACACAATAAATTCAAGTGGCGGCAAATTACATCTAACATCTTGAATATGCTACATTATATATCATGCCTCCGAGCCTTATGTGTTCCTTTGCTCTTTCTCCTATCTGAATGGAGGTGAAGTCCTCTTTCACCTCCCAGGGCTAATCAGTCTCTGCTATGTGATCCTAACGCTTCTGCATGTGTGGTACTTCGCACACTGGTTATCACCTCCATGTCTATGGTGATTTGCCTGTGTGTGACTACTAGACTGAGATCCTGACAAAGTGTTTATGTCTAGCAATCCTTTAATTCTGGGAAACCAGCACATTACCTGAGTTAACAGGTACCCCATAAACATTTTTAAAATTAGAATGTAATAATACTATAATGTATCTTGGCACATCATAAAAAAATCTGTGACTCCAGAAAAAGCGTATGACTTAGGTCTTCCTTAGAAAAATCTAAAATTTGAACTAGTTTTGTGCCAGAAGCTATTTCCATTTATCTGTAAATATATATACAAAGAAGACTTTTTCTAGGGAGAGCTTTTGATTTATATAATAGGAAGCAAGAGAGACCACCTAAATCTATTAAACGTTAAAATTCAGCATGACCACCTAAAATAGCATCCCTTCTTTCCAAGGGTAAGAGCAAATCTGATAGCACCTCGGCAATCAAGTACTCTAAACATTGACTAGAGTATTGAGATTTAGGGAGAAGAGAGACTCCAGAAAGAAATAAGGCTGAAAACCATGAAGTATATAGTCATTCAGTGACAAAGACAAGCAAGCAATGGCAGCTGGCAGGGAGTGGGGTGTCACGCATGAGATCAAAAACAACCATTTTCTATATGTTGCTTGTTTCAGGAAGTGCTTTCAGAAAGGATGTTAGGGACTGTGTTCCCAAAGGGGGAGCCAGTTGTACAGAGCCTGACAACTCTACTTTGCAAAGAGGCAATACAAGAGTAAGAAAATGGACCCTGAACACCATGGTTATGGTACAGGATGACAAAATGAGACAAACTGATGAAAAAAGCAAAGCTGAAATATGAGCACAACATACCGCCCTAGTCTGAAATGATAACCTGACTGATCCATGGTCCTAGTTAAGCTTCGAGTCAGAAACGCCCCACAAATTATACTCACGTTCCATCAAATGCTTCCTTGTCTCCAACTTTGCCCTACAGATGCAGATTTTGGAAAAGGTAAATAGGATGGGGGGAAAAAATGACACAGGGGATCTTAGCTGTTGAAGAGCTAGATCCAGTACTTACACACTAGCCATACAATATCCTGCCCTAATTTTGCCCTTAAAAATGCATGTAACTATGAACATTTGGTATAAATAATATTTTTCTGAATATTTTAACAGCATCATAATATTCAGTCAGTAAATTACTCATGCCATAGCCAGACATTTGGACTTTTCCAATGATCACTATTTAAAAGAATCTTACCCTCAAATGTCTAATGTATATAGGCTTTTGCCATGTATAATTTTTTTTTCCTCCTTATGATGGATTCCCTTCAAAAGCTGAAGGGGATATAAGCATTTTAAAGAAGGTTTCATCATTGCCAAACTGCTTTCCAAAAATACACAAAGTAACAATGCCAAAATCAATTTACATGTTATACTCTCCCTATGCTGGCTAGTCCTAAAAAACAAAACAAAACAAATGCTAATTAAGACCGAACAAATTCTCTGTTTGGCAACTATTAAAGGACCATTGTCCTTTGATAAGTGTGTGAGCAGGAACGTGTAATAGTAATTTCCTGTGTCAGCAAAAACCGGCAATTCAGCTTACAAAAAGAGAAGAAAAACTTACTTGGAAATAAGAGAATTATAATTATCAGCATTTATGACAACTGCTTGCTGTTTATTGTGCATCAGTCATGGATACAACCATGTGTGTAAAATCGAGGTTATTCATTTGATTTGTTTATTTGATTATATACCT